TTTCAATGTTGTTACTCATTAAGTATCACTATACAATCATTTCCCAGTGCTTCTCCTGACACACTGATCCAAATATGCTTCTTTTAATTACTATAAAAGTGTTTCATGTAGCCCAGGATGGCCTCCACATAGTTATGAAATTGATACTGGCCCTGCACCTCCTGATCATTCTGTTTCTACCTCCCAAAAGCTAGAATAATGGATATGCATACCTGGCAGATCTAGTTTTAAGAAAGTCTGCCACAAAGAGTATACAAAAAAAAATCAGTGTGTTCAATGTTTAATTATGTACCACCAATAAGTCATCTAGCTGGGGTTTCCAATCAGTTAAGATAAATAAGCCAGTGAAGTTGGAAATGACCTGTTCAGCCCTCAGGCTAGTATTATCATTAATATAATTAATATCATCCAACTACCATGCCTTAAATTATTTCTATGCATAGGTTAGTTCTAAATACTATTCCATTTAGTCTTTCTAATCTATATGAATTTTGTTCTTGACTTCTTTTTTACAAAGAAGGAACTAAGATTTGAAGAGGTTGGCAACTAGTCCTAACTGGCTAAAGACGGAGCCAAAAAAAAAAAAATCATAATATAGACAGGCTAGTCTTCAGAGCACCTGCCTTGACCTCTACTATGTCCCATCCATATGGCTTCCCAGATCAGTCAGATATGATCTCTGTTCTCAAGACCAAGAAGCCCAAAAACATGGGTAGAATGCTTTCCAGAATAAGCAGAACTTAACATAAAAGGGACTGTCCGGCTGAAGAGACTGCCAGGTCAATATCAAGAGAGTCCTGATGATGACATCAAGTCATGGGAACAGGAGGGGCCTTCACCACTGAAATCGGTTAAAGGACGGGGTAGGAAGGGAGACAAAGGCTGCCAAGGGGCGTCTTTTGCACTTGCTGCAGCCCATTCTATTTGTCAGGCACCATTTATGTCATCTCACATTCAGTATCCTCTTTGGTGTTAGAAAAATATCATAGAAGTTCAACTCTCACATGACCTAGGACAAAGGCCAATTGCTTGGTCTTAAGAGCCATTCAAACTCAGTCCCTAAAGGAGCCTTTTGTGTGTGTTGACTCTATCTTGTCTACTTTGAGTGGGCTGCCCTCTGATATTAGAGGCTATATGCTCCTTTTGCTAATTCACCATCCAGGAGAAAGCAATGTTTCTGCTTCACACAAACAAGTCTCACGAACTAGATGCCTCAAACACAAAGAGTTCCTCCAAAGGATTTCAGCTCTTCTGCTGTGGAGGGCAGAATCCCTGTGGTACTTCCTGCCTGACTTAGAGCTAAAGACAGAAGAGGTCAGTGTGCTCTTTGTTGCTTTCCTTCCACTTCTTCTTCTTCTTCTTCTTCTTCTTCTTCTTCTTCTTCTTCTTCTTCTTCTTCTTCTTCTTCTTCTTCTTCTTCTTCTTCCTCTTCTTCTTCTCCTCCTCCTCCTCCTCCTCCTCCTCCTCCTCCTCCTCCTTCTCCTTCTCCTTCTCCTTCATCTTCATCTTCATCTCCTTCTCCTCTGTTGTATCTGCTTCTGCTTCTGTTGCTCTTGACTTCATTCCTCCTATAATCTGCTTTTCAGTAGTACCATGTGCCAGGCACCGCAGAGCACAACAAAGAAGCATTTTGCCCTTGACTAACGTCATACAAGGCAGACTCTGTGTTACTCAGGTCTTAGGATCAGGCAGTCTGTTTATCTCGGCTGGCTCTGTCACCGAGGAGTTGCTATGGCTTGAATCTCCTTGGTCCCCATGAACACACATGTGGAGCCTTGAACTACTGACAAAATGGTGTTGTGCTGAGAGGTGCCGAAGACTTGCAAAAGCAGTTTGGACTCCGTGGGTATCACTCCTATAGGCATAATGCTTCTCATGAGATCAGTCAGGTCAAGTGGGACTGAGTTAGTTACCAGGAGAGCAGTTTGTGAAAACTTAAGACGACCCAACATGTTTGGCCACTTTTGTTTGTCCCTGTTTACTCTACTACACTAATATATTATCATTGTCCAGGGGACACTAAGAAGATGCCAGTACCATGATACTTGAGTTTTTCCCGCCATCCCTATCATGAGGCAAATTAACCTCTTTTTACAAATTTGTTATTCCACGTCAGATATTTTGTTACAACAACAGAAAACAGACTATGTTGATAGAGTAAGCCCTGTAACTGTGCCTAAACAATTCTGTAGATATAAGTATAGACAAATCTACCCTGTAGGGTTCATAGATACTGACAGAAAATAGCAGCAGCATGCCTGAAGATAGCATTCTAAAGACGCTAAGGATGCTATAGTGGGTGGCATGGACCGCATGGCGACCGTTGCTGCTTGACAAAGTCCCAGCATTTCGACTTGGCGGATCACAGTTCTCCAGCACCCTCTTACTTTCATTATTAATGATTCTCACCAATATGCCTTTTCCTTTGGGAAAATTTGTGTGGACTTTGAAGGATAAAAATGTGTACAATGGTAGCCTCGATAACAAAATAATTCTTTGAAAAAAAAAAATCCCAGGCACCATGGAAACAATCTTGGTATCTGGGTCTTACTGACTCTATATTTAGTTTCCCTCTGTCACACAAATATCTCTGAAGTATTTGGTGAATGAGAACAGTATCAAAAGAAACATCTAGAGGGCACCCCTTTCACGAGCCCAAATTAAAGTTCTGGATAAGGAGCATTTTTGAAGTCCTTCTACCTTCCCTACCTGTAGGAAAGATGAAAGCCTAAATTTCAGGGCAGGTGCTATAAAAAAAAAAAAAAAAAACCATGCATGTCTGGGAGCAAACTGGAATTGACAGGAGCATGCACTAATTTGTGTGTAAGACACTGTTCTGCAGGTCACATCAGAGTAGAGTGGTGATTGACTGAAAACCCTGTTCCTGGGCAGGAAGGAGGACCATGTCCATGTGGAGTCTCCCTAGGCTACACAGAGAATCCAAGGCCACTCTGGCTCATTTCGCAAGAGTCTGCTTCAAAATAAAAGTGAAATTTAAAAAAATGGATAAGGACATTGCCCAGTGATAGAGCCCCGGGTTCCATCCTCTACTGCTCCCCTACAAAAATTCAGATTGCTAGCCACTAGTTTAAAAACAAACAACAACCAAAAAAAAAAAAAAAAAAAAAAAAAAAAAAAAAAAAAAAAAAAACAACTGAGGAGGAAAGAGCAGTATGTAACTACGAAGTATTAATATGAACTGAGCTGTGGCAGCACACACATCACGTCCTTCCCTGTCACTGGGGTCATTCAGGTACCCTCTTATTTAGACGGACTTCGGTGCACAGCCCTCGGAAGGAGAAAACGGAGTTAGGATCATCTCACTGCCCTCCTGGGACTTACCTTGTTCAACTCTCATCTTCCTTCGGCTGCCCACACCCGGCTCTGATTTTCCTGCCACCTTCTTAAAATGCACACCTTTGTGGTTGGGGTGACGGGGGACATGCAATCGAACCATGGCAGGCCTTGAAAAGCTTCCTGTCTGAGCTGACTGGGTTCAGCCTCGAAGCCTAGAGTGCCAGCAAAAAAAGGCCTTGGTGCCCACAATTTCCTCTTGCCAGGGCTTTTTAGGGTCATGTTCGTCATTCCCTGCTATTTTTATACCTTCGCTGCATTTCCTTTTAGTTTGAGGAGGGAGCAGGACATGGACTATTAGCTTTTGAATTGCTACTAGACAGCCCTCGTTCGAGGTGGCCCGCTCTTACTTCTCCGCCAAAGTGAGTTAAAGAAACACTTGCAGAGAAACTGGGGTGTGTGTGTGTGTGTGTGTGTGTGTGTGTGTGTGTGTGTGTGTGTGTGTGTGTGTGTGTCACCATTTCCCCAAGTATAACCGGAGCAGTCCAACCAGAAATGAGAGAGGCCTAGAACACTACCGCCCCTCCCAAAGCAGTCTGCAGCCCTCTTAGCAAGCAGAAGTAGAAAAGGATGGAGAGGCAAGCTGGGATGCAGCATCATCCTCTGAGGCTCACAGCCACCTGTGCTACCTGGCCAAGCTTGGCACCTCCAACGTGGTGAAGTGACCTAGGAAGCCCAGAGGACGCCAGGGTGGCGCAGGCCCTTGTCAGGCATCTGGAAGACAGCACAACCTTCAGGCCAGACCACAAGCCTCACCTTGCCAGCGGGCCTCTCTCACTAGGCTTCCTGGGGACCAAAACAGAACACCTTCCCTTCTTCCCAGGCTCCCATCTTCTGCTGAAAGAGCTGCCATTCCCTCCGCGCACGTCCCCACCCATCCACACCCACTGCAAGGACACCACCCGGGATGCTGTGGATCCTGGGAAGATGCTGGGAGCAGTGAGCGAGGGGGCACTCGCCGGGCGGGGGCCCGCCCAGTGTCCTGCCGTGTCCCGAAGCGGGGCGGCACGGCAGAGGAGGGGAGCAGCACCAGCAGCTGGTAGCATGAACCCTGCAACCTCTGGATCCCCGGACCTCGGGGACTCCGCAGCTCCCGCCCGAGCCCGCGCCCGCTCGGCTTCGGGGATTTTTGTCTATATAAGGGCTCAGGGCGCAGGGCGCGCGCGGGGCTGGCAGCCCGGGGCTGCGGGTTCTCTGCACCGGCGTGCGGTCGCTGGGGAGCCGCGCTCGCCCTCCTCCCGCCGCCTCCTCCCGCCGCCTCCTCCCATCCTCCCCCTCGTCCTCCCTGGGAGCACCGCCTTTTACCTGGTTCCGGGCACCCGGTGCGCGCACCGCCCGCCGCCGCTCTCCCGGTCTTCCCCACCCCGCCCAGCTGCAGCCGCCTCGCCTGCCTCGCTCGCTGTCACCCGCTGAATGGAATTATTTATTTATTTATGTCCCCTGACGTGGCCTCGCCTGCCGAGGCCTGGGGGAGGGAGGGGGGAGGTTGCGGGAGAGCCGAGGCGGGTTGGGGCGCCTGGGTGCGGTGCAGGGGAGTAGGGGGAGTGGGGGGAGGACGCGGGAGGAGGGCGCGGGAGGAGGGCGCGGGCTGGGGGCGCAGGGGAGGGAGGCGCACTGAGCATGCTCCCGAGGGCGCCGCGGTTGGCGCCTGTCAGCTCGGGCTCTGTGGCGCCCCGGCACTCCACTTCGGATTTTCGTTCTGACCGGGAGCGATCCGGGTTGGCTGGGCCGCCCGGACTTGCTTCGCTCCCAGCCCTTGCGCTTTGGCGCCCAACCTGAGGAGAGGCAGGTGTGAGGGCGGCTCGAGAGACCTAGGCTGTTATGCAATCTCTAGATAAGGATGCCCAGAGGAGCCTGCCGCAGGCAGAGGAAAGAGCAGGTCCTCTTTAGGAGCTGGGGGGCAGGAAAGGGCGCGTGACTCATCCGCCCGCCCATTCCGTCCCCGGTTCATTCATTCAGTTAAGGATTGCAGCGCGGAGTGAGTGCTGGCCTAGTTGAGGATGGAGAAAGAGACTATGGTCAGAGCCAAATCCCTCCAAGGAAAAGACAAAAGGGGAACAGAAAACATCACAATTAGACACTGAAAGTATGAGAGTTGCTGGGGGGTGGGGGTGAGGGGGGGCTGTCAGTCGTAACTAATTCCTTCCCCCCCCCCTTTTTTTGTAGATAACATTTAAGTTTTCAAGACAGGATTTAGTTATTTTACAAAGAATAACGCTAAGGATAATGATGGTAATCCCCACAGATGTTGGTTTTGTTTCTTCCCCTAACATGCCCTTCTTGGGGGAAGTTAAAAAGAGGAAGGGTTGGAACGGAAGGGTTAGACAACTCCCAAGACCGGCTTTCTTTAATATCTTTAAGTGGACTCTCTGGTTGGAGAAAAACTGTGTGGAAGAATAAGTGCTTGAATATGAACTTGGTCGAAGTTTTCTGCCCATTTAACCAGCCTTTTCCTTTCCTAATTCCGTAATGGAGCACTCCATTAGACGCAGTCTACAATTACTCGCGTTATACACATGTGGAGATAGACACGGTAAGGTGGTACCCTTGGAGACATTCAGGATATCCCACTTTGCCCCAGCTAGTCAGTCTGTAGGCAAGGGCAGGATTTGAGTTTCTGCAGTGACAAAAGAGGATTGTTGTTTCCAAAAGATTTAAGTAAGACACTGTAGAAAGTGATCAGAAGAGGATTTGAGAGGATCAGGTGGTGGATGTTCATGTCCCCAACGCACCAGCCAAAAAGTTCAGCGGCTAAAAAGATGTGTGCCACCAAGTCCGGAGGAGACCTGAGTTCAGTCAGAGGGGACTTGCTCTTTCAAGCTGTCCTCTGACCTCCACACCCCTGGCAAGCATGTACATGTACACACATGCACACACAAACACAACACACACAAAATAATAATAATAATAATAATAATAATAATAAATGTTAAGTGTTTTTAGGAAAGTTAATAATTCCAAAACTAAAAGTTATGGCAAAACATTCTAAAAACAACCAGTTTTCTGGGGGTGGGGGGAGAACTCAGCATAGACGGATATTTGTAGAAGATCACACTTGAATATCTAACAAAGACTATAAATATCTTTAGTTCATTGCCAAGAAAGAGTGATAAACATTTAAGAGAAATAACATAAAGACATAGCGAGGTCATGTTCTTGGGCATTTGTTATTAAGATTGTGTGTGTGTGTGTGTGTGTGTGTGTGTGTGTGTGTGTGTGCTCATCTATCACTTTTACTTCTTTTCTAAGAAAAGGAAGCACAAGCAAGCATACAGTTCTTGAATTTAATCAGTTCTCCCCTTTCCTTCTCTTGTGTGTTTTATATCTTTTTTTTTCTTCAGTCTCTTGTCTTACTTCACCCATTGCCAAACTGGCAGACATCAACACTCAACGTTTTAGAACCATAGCATGCTTTCGCTGTAGGTGCTTTTTTCGAGTATTTAGATCTCTAAATCCAGCTGGGCCTGGTGGTGTGGCTGAGGCAGGAAGACTGGAGGGTCAAGGCTACTACGAGTGAGTTCAGGGTCATCTTGAGCTACTCAGTGAGCTAATGGATCCAAACAGTGGTTCTCAACCTTCCTAATGCTGCCACCCCGACCATAACCTTGTTTCATTGCTACTCTGTAACTGTAATTTTGCTACTGTTATAAATTGCAATGCAAATGTCTGATATGAAGGATATCTGATAGGCAACCCCGAGGGAGTCTCCACCCACAGGTTGAAAACCACTGCTCCCAAGTAAAATGGTTTTTTTTTTTTTTTTTTTCTGTAAGGCTGAGAGTGTGGCCTAACAGTATGAAGCTTGCCTAGTGCAATACCCTATGCTTAATTCCCAGGACCACAAACAAACAAAGAAAACCCCCAAACTCGGAATCTAATTGTCTTGCCTCCCTCGAGTTATGTTTGGGAATTCTTTTCTGAATCGCCTGGTTGCCATAGCCAGGCATGGTGTGTAAATATTTGTTTGGATGACAAAGGAATCTGAAAGTAGAATGCGGTAAGAGCAAGTTCAGTTAATTAGTGCATATAATCCTGTGATTTGTTACTTAATATTATTCAGAGCTTAAGGAGAAAATGTAATTGAGTGAAAAGAGAACTCCTATGAAGAGAATCCAGAACACAGACGTAAGCATGCCCCTGACATTTCTATTCATAACCTGAAATAACAATGGGAAAAACAGGCAAAAAGACAAACAAACACACAAAAAAGCTATCTGCGACTCTAGCAGCTCATGTCCCACAAATAAACAAACAGTGAATCCATGTACTGCCCAGACTTAGGAAGCCCGAGTGTCTACACCCACAGCTGCCCACTTTGGGCTCAGGTCCTTTGCCTCCATCCTCCTCCTCAGCCAGCCCTTAACTTCTTGTATTTCTTTTCTCATGCCCCCACCTTTTGTCCATGTGTAGCTTGTATCTGTTTCCCCCTTCTAGGCACAGCGGATAGGTCACCAGCTCTGTAGCCTCCTCTGGATTCTACAGCGATCTGTCCCTCTTTAAGCACTCCCACGGACCATGGTGTACACCTTTTTCCTTCCAACTCAAGGTACGCCTGCATACCTTGGGAGCTTTTAAAATATCTCTCACCATAATCGACAAGGCTGCTTGGAAAAAAAAAAAAAAAGAAATACATCATTTCATTCATTTTTGGACATCTTCTAGCACCCTTCACAAAGTCTTCCAGATCAAAAGATAATCAATTGTACCTGCTCGTGGGAAAAAGCAGCGAAGGCCCTGAGTACTGTAAGCAGGTAAAGAGGAGAAAGCTCTTGGTAATAATCCCAGGATTATTAATCTACCTAGCTACATTTTCTGACTTCCTTTGCAATTATATTGGGGACATCTGATTGGTTCTCAATAAAGTTCATGTTTAAAGATGAACCTCAATGTCCTCCTCTCCTGGTTGATCCCATTGAAAACTAGTTTAAGTGGCCTGTAACCTCAGGTTAAAGGGAGTCCAGTCCCATCATGCTACTCCACTCCTGTCTTTCCCAGCCACCCTACCAGGTTTCCAATAGATTTGTAGCAAAATCTGGAGTCCCTAAATGCTATGACAAGTTTGGTCTTTGTGTCTGCATGTGACCCTCTGTGATTTCAGGCCTGGTTCATCATGAGAACATAACCCATCTTAATATAAACACCGTAGGATATTGTTTGATAAGCTTTTAAGTTACATTGGCAAAATCCCAGTGCAAGATTAAATTTACAGCATTGTTCCAATGTGTCCTTCAAGGAGCTGTAGTAACACTCTCATGATCCCCAAATCCATTTAATAATCTCTCTACAGTGATGCACTGAGACCAAGTAGATGCATAAGTCATGCTACAGATTGGTTTTTAACGAAGAACAAAAGATCAAGTTACTCAATACCCACCTCGACTGGAGTAAAAACAAGTACGTACCCGGTAACATACTGTGACTGGGGTTATAGCTGACTCACAGCCCTGAGTGGGATTTCTGTGGCCTGGCCACATGGAATGTACAAAGTGTAAAAGGCATTTCTTCCCTCCTTGTTGCACGTTTAGAGTGTGTCCTGATAAGATCACGTGGAAAAAGTCTTCTGTGGAAGCCTCTCATGAAGTTTTGAAGAACACATGTCTCATGTTACTGGATATGTTGTAGAAGAAAAATGACTTTCAGTGCCCCATCTCGATGTTCTTTCAAGAGATTCAGCATCACACTTCTTTTCTGGGCCAGGAGAGATGGGTCAGCAGTTAAGAGCACATACTCTTCTTTCAGAGGAAAAGAGTTTTGATCCCAGCACCTAGGTTGGATGACTCACCGCAACTCCAGGGAATCTGATGACCTCTTCTGGTCTCTTCTGGTCTCTGCAGGTACCTGCACTCATATGCACATACACACACACACACACACACACACACACACACACACACACACACGACGAGAGAGAGAGAGAGAGAGAGAGAGAGAGAGAGAGAGAGAGAGAGAGAATTTTTAAAGATAAATAATATAAAAACACCTTATCAGTTGGCGTTTTCCTAATTTTACACTATAATTATTTCATTTTTAAGCTAGGCTGAATGGATTCCAAGGATTTAGTAGATGTTTTCATCTAAATATTCTGGTTATTCTGAAGGCATGCAAGATCGGAAACTTGAATTTGAAGTTTTACCATAGGTGCAAACAGAGAGGTAGAGATTGCAGAAATGCCACCTATTTGTAATTTAGTATTTAGTAAGTTGTGTGGTATGCTCCATGCTGACCAACTATGTCTCTAAAGAACCAAGAAGTTAGTGCCTGTTGAAGTTTGAATATAGAATGTCCCCATGCCCCACCCACCCACTCCCCACTCCCCCATGACCCCATCTCTCTTACCCTTGGTCCTACAGCTGCTCGGACCCAGGTAAACACACAGAGGCTTATATTGTTTACAAATTGTATGGCCTAAGGCAGGCTTCTTGCTAGCTAGCTCTTTCATCTTAAATTAACCCATTTCTATTAATCTATGTTTTGCCACGTGGTCTGTGGCTTACCAATACTTCCAGATCTTGCTTCTCCTGGCAGTGACTGGCAGCGTCTCTCCTGCCTCTGCCTTTCTTTTTCCTGTCTCTTTCTTGGATTTCCTGCCTGGCTATAACCTGACTCACCATAGGCCAGAGCAGCTTCTTTATTAACCAATCATAGCAACACATATTCATAGCATACAGAAAGACATCCCACAGCACTAGCTGGTGGTACTCTTTTGGAAAGTTTGGAACCTGTAGGAAGAAATGTGCTAGAAAGAAGAGCCCAGCTTCTGCTTCCCACACAGACCCTCTGCTTTCTGGCTGCCAACATGCCGTAACCCTCCAAAAGACACCCCTCCTATCATGCCTCCCCACCATGATGGATTGGATCCTCTCACACTGCAAGACAAATCTCCCTTCCCTTAAGTCGGTGGTTCTCAACCTTCCTAACGCTGTGACCTTTTAATACAATTCCTCATGTTTTGGTGACCCACAACCATAAAATTATTTTCATTGCCACTTCATAACTATAATTTTGCTACTGTTATGAATCATAATGTAAATATCTGTGTTTTCTGATGGTCTTAGGTGACCCTGTGAAATAGTCATTCAACCCTCAAAGGGGTTTTGACCCACAGGTTGAGAACCAAGGACTTAGTGCCTTTTTCCGTGCATGTAATCAAAGAAGAGCCATCTAACCTTTCAGGGTCACAGGATTTACATGAAAACTTTAATAGGTAGCTTCACCTTCCAAAATTCTATGACATTATTAAGCATTTCAAGGCTACAAATTACAAAATTTATGCACAATCTTAAAAAATGAAAAATATTAACATAGCAAATTATTATTTGAAACCCCCAAATAAATTCACTTCCAAAAATAGGAAATTTTACAAAAATAGGCTTCTTGTTCAGATTTTGGAGAACAATGTAAAAACAAGGTATTTCACAATATGTCACCATAGATTTGCTTGCTCAGTCCTTGTGAAACTTGTCATGTCTTCAGAATGCCCTTGAGGGGAGGTTAGTCACTGTTTGCTTTCACATAATAACTCAAGGTCATAGGAGACCTTCACATAAAATTCTCTCAGCTGGGAATTTCTCAGTAAGCTGGATTTTCACTGCAATTGCATGGTTTATTTGTCTAAAATTAAGGCAGATTGCTCTTCTATTGTCCACTGGTTTTCTACTTCCCACCTACCAGGAATTGTTACGCTGTTTCTATACATATTGTGTGCCAGTTTCTTAATGCTATTTAACTTTTTTCATAGTCTTGTGATTATGATTTTGTCATTCTGCAATGATAAGTAATCTATTCAAGGTCTATTGTACACTGTGAAGTGTATTTTCAGAGTCATTTGTCTATGCCTCTGCTCTTTAACACTGTGAACTGGATTGAAGTATAATAAATAGTATTAGTCATCACTTGTGTTACACATTTTATGCTTACTTTTTTTCTTAGTTTATCAGAAGTTCATTTGCCAGTGCAGACCTAGAATCACAAGATCCACAGCAATTTAGAATGTTTATCTTAATTATTTCACTTGTTCATTGCATATACTTTAGTGCTGATTATATTAAAGGGTCTGTAATAATTTTTCAGTTATAAATTGTGATGACCTTAAATAGACCATACATTAGGTCCTGAACCTTCACAGTGTGTGTGGTGCAGATGCTAAAACACTTACCAAATAACTATGTCTATAAAACACTCACCAAATAAGTATATCTACAGACACACAGAAGTAAAACCTTGAGACATGAGGTTTGTCTAGTAATATTTTTATGTTTTTTAATAAAATTGAAATAAATTATCTTAATTATATAATTGAAGGGTTATTTATTGCTTTATCTTAGATCTTAGACCTGTGTGTTAATAGCTTTCTTTGTCTATAGCCTGTGATGCCATTGAGGGGTGGTGGAATGCTTTGGAGGTAGTCCCTAATGGAGATAATGGAAACTGCAGGTCAATCAAGGCATGTTACTGAAGGTGGTATCAGAACTAAGGCCCTGCTTGTCTCTCTCTTTCCATGTCTGGCCATGAAGCAAGCAATTATGCTCCATCATGTACCACAGTCCCCAAATCAACTGGGCCAAACCACTATGGACTTTAAACTTCCAAAGAGTGAACCTCTGTTTCAGTACATTATTTAGGGTGCTTAGTTACAGTCATAAAAGGCTACCTAGCAATGCTGTCTAGAGACCTGAAAATATGTTTCAAACAGATGTGGATACTTTCCACGGTAGCCTTCAAGTTATTGGGCTTTGCCTATGAGGCTAAAGAGTCAAGGGAAATTGTAGGGTTTTGTGGTTTGTTTTTTGTTTTTGTTTTGTTTTGTTTTTGCCAATATTGCAAGTTTAGTTTACACAAACTTTACTGAAGTATAATTCAAACATTAACCAGTATGTATTTAACATTTTGATTTATTTGGGTAAATTTTCACACTCATGGAACTAGCACTTGAAGATACCCAAGCATTCTCCTAAGTCTAGAATGTGCTGTGCCCTCCTTGCATTCTCTTTTACTCTTTCTCCTACCTCAGAAGACTGTTGGGATTAATTGAGTTTTTCCACATATGATGTTATATAATTGGATTGATACACATTTTTTTTTGTCCACAGACTCTGGTTTTTTTTATATCCATGTAGGTACAGATATGAATCAGTAGCTTGAACATTTTCTTGGTAAGAAGTATTCTATGGTATGAAAATTCCTATGATTGTGTAAATATAAATAATTCTGTAGACATGTATTATTGACTTTTATAATGTACAAAATGAAATTAATGTATTTTACTGTTTTAAAATAATAAGATTTCTGAAATGGTTATTTTAGTAGGCACCTGAACATGTATTTAGGTCTAGACATATACTACCAATACACAGCTTGGGCAAAACCACAAAAATGTTTTTACATTCTTCATCAGTGATACAAGATACTTCGGTAACTAAGAAATGTCAGCCAGGTAATGTAAATGGAATTGACTTGTAAATTATAAATCTTTTTATAGAAATAAAAGAGGGTATTATTAAAAACAATATATGTACATGTTTAGGAAATAGATAATCCATCAGAAATAAAATAAGATGATGAAAGCTTTTTTCATTAATCACTTTTAATGGCCAAATTGGACAGTTGCATAATCCAGACATAATTTTCATAGAAAAATTAATCACTTCAATGTCATCTTACTTGAAATAAATCTCATATTAAGATAAGATAGATATCTTTGGTTAACCATAAGAAGACCCATTTGTCATGTAGGAGCAAGGGATTTGGCTGTGGAACAGGACGTACAAAGAGATTCTTGTCCTCTGTCACTCAATCAAATTATGACTGTAGAATGAAACTCTGACCCTTGCCTGTTCTGGGGAGAAACCCAGTTCTTCCCCGCTGCAGGTGTGGGACCTTTAAAGATTATATCTCCTTTTATTTTAAGGAACATTTTTCTTCTTCCTTTCTGCTCTCATTGCTAATTTTGTAAAATAAAAAAAGGTAGTAAAACAAACAACAATCTTACGGTGCTTATTGATCTTGCTTGCAAAATAAGATTCAATTGATTGTCCACTCTGTGGTATATAGGGCCTTAGCCAGTGTGGAGTAGAAGAATATGGGCTAATATTATACAGGCATGTCCAACTTACAACCTAGGACATCTATGTCTGTGTCTCAACACAAGAGCATAAACTTACTTAAAACATGATTTTTTCCAATTTCTTTTTTTTTCCCTTAACTTGACTGGATGATTCTCAAGCATGAACTTTATGAATGACAAGGTCATGTCACAATGTCAAAAGTCTGGACACAAGTGAAACATCTTCAGTCATGTTTGCTATGTGGATTACAGTAGGATCATCTAAACATGATTTCGCCAAGTGATTTAGGGTTATCAGAGCATGATACTCAGAGAGTATGCCTTACTCAGAGAAGAAGCATACTGAGCCCTGTTTTGCAAGAACAAGGAGGAAGTAAGCCTAGACTCAGAAATTACTCCATGACTGTCCTACAAATTCTCCTTTGTGCAAGGGAATCATAAGTCAGTATTAGTTTTCCATGATTGCTGCTCTAACAAAGGACCACAGTTGCTGGCTTTTAACATGACAATTTATGAACTTACTTTGCTTTAAGTGAGCAGTCTGGATGAGTTTGGCTGGTTTCTCTGCTCTGGGTCTCACAATCTGGAGGTAAATCTGTTGCCAAGCTTCTTCACATCTGCTATCAGGATTTGTGTCCATGCTGTTATAGGGCTTAAGTCTTCTTTGGTTTTGTTGTTGTTTTGTTTTCTGAGATAAGTTTCTCCTGTATTGAAGGATAACCTGGGACCTGTGATCTTCCACTTCCCATTTAGGTATCGGTTCCTAGATTTCTTCATGAGCACTCTTATCACTGAGCTATGTCCCTGGCTCCTAGGTGTCAGTTTCTAATAAGTACCTTTCCCTCCCAGTCG